AAAGCTGAATTTTCAGCATCATTACTCCAGTCTTCAGTGTCACATCCTTCTAATATGCTGATTTATTATCAGGGCTGGAAAATGTTGTGCTGCTTAATATTTTTTTGGAACCTGTGATTTTTTTCAGGATCCTTTGATGAATAAAAAGTTAAAAAGAAGACCATTTATTTAAAATAGAAATCTTTTCTAACAATATACACTACCGTTCAAAAGTTTGGGGTCAGTACATTTCTATTCTTTATTTTTTTTTTGAAAGAAATTAAAACGTTTATTCAGCAAGGATGTGTTAAGTTAAAGTTAAGAAGTGATAGCAAAGATTTATATTGTTAGAAAAGATTTATATTTTGAATAAATGCTGTTCTTTTTAACTTTTTATTCATCAAAGAATCCTGAAAAAAGTATCGCAGTTTCCAAAATAATATTTGGCGGCACAACATTGATTGCCAACATTGATAATTCTAATAATAAATTAGCATATTAGAATGATTTCTTAAGGATAATGTAACACTTTATACTGGAGTAATGTCTGATGGAAATTCAGCTTTGCATCACAGAAATAAATTATATTTTAAAGGATATTAAAATAGAAACCATTATTTTGTATTGTAATAACATTTAGCAAGATTACGTTTTTTTTTCAGTTTTTTTTAAATGCTGCCTTGATGAGCATAAGAGACTTCTTTAAAAAACATGACAAGTCTTACTGATACTTGTACATGTATACTTCATTCTGCTTATGTGTTTGTTTTCTCCAAGATGGCCAAGGTGACAAGAATGCACGGGAATGAGACGACAATCAGCCTCATAGGAACGAGTGCCGGCAAACTGTGTGAAGGCAAACATCACACCAATTTTGTCCCACGCCAGGGAGTCGCCCACAAACACTGAGAAAAGTGTTGACCCCCCCCACTTCATTCACCATTTTTCCTTCTATTCAACCTGTATTTCCTTTCCGCTTCCTCATATTGAAAATAAATCCGATATATAGCTATATTAAAAGGATCAAATGAGAGTTTGAACATATCCGAGAGATTGCAGGGATTGTGGAGCTGGAGGACGGCTGCTATACCTCACTGACATGCTGCTTGATCAATAGTTTTTTTGTTGTTGTTGTAGTTTTTTTTTTCTCAATATGGCATCCTGGTGCTGGATTTGAACTGGTTTAAATTAGGTAGATTGGTCAAAACACATCCTAAAATCATCCTGCCGCTTTTAGTTGCTCGCTGATTTGCAATACATTTTAAAGGATATTAAAATAGAAACCATTATTTTGTATTGTAATAACATTTAGCAAGATTACGTTTTTTTTCCAGTTTTTTTTAAATGCTGCCTTGATGAGCATAAGAGACTTCTTTAAAAAACATGACAAGTCTTACTGATACTTGTACATGTATACTTCATTCTGCTTATGTGTTTGTTTTCTCCAAGATGGCCAAGGTGACAAGAATGCACGGGAATGAGACGACAATCAGCCTCATAGGAACGAGTGCCGGCAAACTGTGTGAAGGCAAACATCACACCAATTTTGTCCCACGCCAGGGAGTCGCCCACAAACACTGAGAAAAGTGTTGACCCCCCACTTCATTCACCATTTTTCCTTCTATTCAACCTGTATTTCCTTTCCGCTTCCTCATATTGAAAATAAATCCGATATATAGCTATATTAAAAGGATCAAATGAGAGTTTGAACATATCAGAGAGATTGCAGGGATTGTGGAGCTGGAGGACGGCTGCTATACCTCACTGACATGCTGCTTGATCAATAGTTTTTTTGTTGTTGTTGTAGTTTTTTTTTTCTCAATATGGCATCCTGGTGCTGGATTTGAACTGGTTTAAATTAGGTAGATTGGTCAAAACACATCCTAAAATCATCCTGCCGCTTTTAGTTGCTCGCTGATTTGCAATACTTCTGACAAAGTGCAAAGCCAAGGCTGAATTTTCTATCCCGCAGAGCACTCATAATGCAAGATTCAGACCAAATATGATTGAATTCCACAGCCCTGTCCACCGATTAAGATTTCTTTCAACACCAAGATGGCTGTAAATGTCCATTTGTGTGTGAATGAGTGTGCGTATATACCGATGATGTCACTTTAAAGAGGTTTTCGCTTTGTGTGTTAGCTTCAGAACCAAGTCAGGTCAAATGAGGAGAACATCTCTTGATTCTAATCTCCTATCGAGTGGTGACATTCCTCCCTACTGCACGCTATATAACAAAGGCGTTTGTGCGCTCCTCTGCTTTGAAACGACACGTCACGCTCGCAGAGCCCCCCTTTAATCTCTCCAACGAGCATTGATCATGTTTCATCTTCAAAGCTGCTCTGACTACTGCGAATGCCTGTTCAAAAAAAAAGAAAACCTGTTGTGTCAGACTGACGTGGCCGTTTTTGACGAGTGCGCTAACCAATTAATTCCCTCAAGTGTATCTAGATGCATGCCAGCATTGTTTCAAATGTTTTATTTACAGTCTCTCTCTCAGTCTCCCTCCCTTTCACTTGCATAAACAGATCTAAATGGCAAGCTCTCAATATTTTTACCAGATTGTCTCTGCATCTTCAAAAATCTGCCTTATTTCATGAAATAAGTAGTACATAATCACAAACTGGTGATGGCAAAAATAAAAGGCAAATAGTAAGTGTGTGGCTTTGAATGAATTAAATACTACTTAAGATGTTGAGTGATGCATTTCTTTAAACACACAAAAAAAAATGTTTGTCTTTTTGTTTGGGTTTTTATTTGGTTTCCTTGCATATGTTTTGTTTTAGTTTTTTTGGTTGATAATGATTAAAAATGTATTCAAAAGGTTGATTTACTTCTTTAAGTGGTGCCATATTGTATATCAGATGAACTTCTGCCTTCATCCTTTGATGTTTGCTTTGCTATAAAACAACTATGAATAAAGTTATAAAGTTGTTTCCCTGGGCATGATCTCTGTGTGTTTTATGGTTGCACCGTATCCAACAGGTAATGTCTGCAGATAATCCATGAATATCTTTGTATTCGCTGAATTATTATCAGCAAATTTGCACATGCTTGTAAGCTATTCTGATGTTAGAGATTTTTCTATTATTTAATTTGCCTGCAGCATTCACTTTATAACTTCTCTAAAGCACTTAATGGATAAAATCATTTTTATGATTGAAAACTTTAGATATCATAGAATTTAATTCGTTTTCAATTACAAAAAAATATATAGAGACTGAAATCTTGGGTGAATTCCATTTGAAAGGGCATAAATATGCCATACTCACTCTGAAGGGCATAGTGCAGGCCACTTAACTGACACCTCTCAATGTCTTTTATTCAGTGTCATCTAATGTACCGTTTCTCTGCATTCAGTAGCAAATGTTAATATATGTAACATAATCCAGGAGATACTGAGGTTTAATTAATTGGCTTTAGGTTTTAAAATGAATGGCAAGGATGTGTCAGCTAGGATCACATGAGCATTCACTGCTAAATTATTTCCTTAAAATTACTATTGCATGTACTGAAGAACTAAATCCTAGGTAAGATTAATTAAATTACTGTGGCATTCAGGGTCATGATCATAGATGGCAAAATGATTTCCCTGAATTGATAATTGCACACCTTTAACTAATGTCCTTGTGCAAGGGCCCTAGTTATAGGAAATATTCCAATCAAAACCATTTTGTTATTGTCCTACAACTCTAACCCAAAATGCTTGACCACACTTTTTCATGTGCTTCTAATCTCAAACTTAATCTCGCGCACAGATAATATGTCACTGAACTCTTCTTGAGTCTCCTGTAAGAAGTACTATGATCTCCAGAGATGAGAGGAACATGCCGCTGTGCTCCTCTAGTCCTGACCTCTCTTTAGGAGGTGCAGAGTGCTGTCGTGTCTTACGAGGGCCACGGAGTTCATCTTCAAAGAGATCCGACAAACTGGAGGATTACAGCAGGGGTGGATATTACTAGACCACCTGCCAACAAAGAAAACATCTTTGTTTCTAAATGGAATCGTGAGACGTTTATCAGTAATAATGATCTATGCATTCTAAATGAACCCCTCAAGCTCATTTCTAACATTTCTAACTCTCATGTGTTATAGCACTCCCTGCTCTCCTCTACAGTGAGGACAACAGCCCTTAAATGAATGTCACAGTCTGCGTTTGTTGTACCTTATCAATATCTCTCAGCAGACGCAGACTGACCTCCATCACCAGCAGATGGAGAGATACATGGAGCCCATTGCACAAGGTTCTCTCCATGGTTTGTGGTAATTACTTTGCTGATAACTTGTCCCCAGTGCCATTACTATGAATTATTACACACACAATAAATGATGTGTGTCACTTTGCTTTTCTCCTCAGCCAGAGGACACTGAATTCCCAGGGATGTAGATGGATCCACAAGGCCAGTGGACTTTTTATGGTCGCTTGCTAGAGAGAAACTGAGGCAGTTGGAAGGGTGCAAATTCAGAGAATGTAATATGGTGAATTTGAACAAAACAAAACATTGGTTGTCTCCACAGCAAATGAATCCACAAATAACTGTTGTTTGTGAGAAACCTATCAAAAGTTCCACAAGAGGGCTACTGTATACCCAAGCTACAGCATAAATATGCCAAATCTAGTGCTGTAGATGTTGTCAAATATGTAATTACAAATTCATTGATAAAATGGGCCAGAGCTGTGACTTCCCAGCACGATTCATTATTTTGCACCCTGGTTTCCTGCTGCTACCCCTAACGCACCATATATTTCCATAACAAATTTCTCCATCAAGGTAGGAGGAATAAAAGAAGCCTGGCAGCCCAGCAGGACATTTGCACCAGCCCCTTCTGCCCCGCACCTCAGCCGTGCTGCATGCGATGAGAAACAGAACGAGCCATCCTTATATGTTTCAACAATGCAGTGAGGAAAAGAAAAAAGGGAAGAAAGCAAAGTAGAAAAGCCGCTCAAATAGGTCTCCTTGGCAGGTGGATAATGCATCGCCCCTGATTCCATGCTGCATTTTGGATGTTTTATTGGTTTTGACAGTGGGTTGTTTAGGGAGGTGTTAGAATACAGAACAATATGTTATTCTGTGCAGTCCTACTATAGCTGTGCTAATACAGAATTCTGCATAGCCAAACAGCATCTTAATTATCTGTCATCTAGGCACAGTTGACTTTTAACATGAACGGCATATACTTTCAACCATTTTACTGAACATTTTTCTTTTATGACACTTGCTTTTAATATAACTTGGGAGTAAAGGTGAAATATTTAATGCCAATTTACATGTACAAAAATAAAGGTGCTTCACGATGCCATAGAAGAACCTTTTTGTCTAAATGGTTCCATAAAGAACCTTTAACATCTGAAGAACCATTCTGTTTCACAAAAGGTTCTTTGTGGGGAAAAAAGGTTCTTCAGATTACAAAAAGGTAATAAAGAGATGGTTCTTTAAAGAATTAATGGTTCTTTGTGGAACCAAAAATGGTTCTTCTATGGCATCGCTGTGAAGAACCTTTTGAAGCACCTTTATTTTTAAGAGTGTAGTATTTGGTGTAGACCGGAGTCAGTTTATTTTGTTGGTGTAACAGCAAACTCATTCTCATCTGTTTGGAAAGGCAGTTTGGATAGGATTCATGTGAGTATGATTCACAAATCTCACAAATCAAGCTGTCTGAGTTTGATTCCCTAAAAAGAACCAACTTGTTCAAATAATTCATCTGCAAAATTGAAGTAAATGGGGTGTGCTGTATATTTTTGATTCATTTCAAAGGGAGGTGATCTACATTGTGTTGTATGTTTTTGATTTACTAAAAGGAATAGGCTCATACGAGTCATTCCTTAGGCAGTCAGGATACATTGGTTTCATTGTAAGTTTTTGATTCAGTTTAGGGGAACTGGCTCACAAGAGTCATTCATTCAGGAGTCGGATGACACTGGCTGCACTGAATGTTTTTGATTCACGTAAAAGAACCTGCTCATCAGAGTCATTTGTTGGGCAACTGGACTACAAATGTTTGTTTCTTATGAGAGGCCATATAGGCCATAATTACTGATAAAACTTTCACAAACACTAATGAAATGAACACATGGTGAAATTTGTTGATTCTGCCCTGTATGGGGACTGAGCTTAAAGGGTTAGTTCACCCAAAAATGAAAATTGGCTTGTGTTTTACTCA